GTGGCGGTGGCAGGCGGGGTGTGTGTGTGTGTGTGTGTGCTGAAAACATGGCCAAGGTACGAAAACAAAATGCTTTACTAGAAGTCTGTGGCTATGGGGATTGGCATCCACAAATAGACAGGAAGCAAAGTTTGGCCTTTTACAGTCCCAAGGCTTTTTCCTAAGCCTGGCTTACTGCTGACCCTGCATGTTAGTCAGTCATGGACCAGATGTAAGCACAAATGAGTAACCAACTTCAGTCAGTACTAGAGGCATCCAGAACATGAGAAACCAGATTAAAACCAAGAGGATTCATTCCCATTTGGTTGTCCCTGGTGTATATGGGTAGGGAGAGGTTAGGGTCAGTGTTGTGATTGACAGTCCAGGACAACAGGAAAGAGCCAAGTGCTATTAACACCAGCTCTGGCACTCTGACTTTCTCCCTTCCTAGGAACCATTAAAAGCTTCCAAGCACTTGGGTGGCACAATGAGAGCTATTGTTTCAAAGAAGGTAACACTAATGGAGAGGGCTCTAACCGAAGGCTGGGGGGTGGGGAGAAGCCTGCAAGTCCCTCAGGGCAGAAAAAGGTCTAGGAGAAGAGGAAGAGGCAGGTTCTCAGGTTGTTCTGAAGGGGACTTCCCAGGTGAAAGTGGGCATCAAGGGAGGAAGAGCAGGTCACCATCAGGCTTCTGGCTTGAATAACTGAAAGAATTAAATGGACTTTCAACAACAGCACCCCCCTACAGAAGTAGTTTGCACACTTAGGAAATCAGCTATTTGGGTTGGAGGTATAGTTTAGTTGGTAGAATGCTTTCAAAGCATGCATGAAGCCCTAGGTTTGATCTCCAGAACCACATGGTAACAGAGTGTGGTGGCCGGGTGTGGTGGCAGACCCTTTAGTCCCAGCACTTGGGAAGTGAAGGCAAGAGGATTAGAAGTTCAAAATCATCCTTGCTAGATCAAAGAGCCTGTCTCAAAAAAAAATTTGTTAAAAAGCTAAGGATATCATACCTTACATACCTATAGATTCTAGGGGAAAAGGGAAATTTGGGGGTGTGGGGAGCTTCGTATACAGAGCTGCCTTTATGGCATCTGTGGAACACATACCATGACATATTCATGTATGTATAACAAGCTAGGAAAGTGTCCTTACACTCTTGAAGCTGACTGGTCTAGCTGGAGTGTATTCATTGAGCACTGCCACATAGAGAACCCAGGGGTGTTAAAGGGTAAGAACATCCATGGACATCAGCTCTAACAAATTAAACAGTGAAGTTCTGAATGAATTACTTTGGAAAGAACAAACATTTCTTGTTCATGCTTTTTGCTTTCCTATTTGTTTTGCGTTTTTTTATTTCTCACAGACTATCTATGTGTCAATTGTGTATTAGTTTTATTAAATACTATTTTCTCCACATCAAGGTAAACTATGCATCTCACCCAAGACTAAATCTCATTGTGGAAAAAAAATTGGATATTTTTTCCAGCCTTTTTGAATCTGTACAATTTTTGTTCTGTGTTTGAGTGTGATACTAAAATTACTTCTAGAATTCATTGCCAGAAAAACAGGAGTGTCTTAGGAGTTGAAGGGCCTTAATTCATTAACATGTCATAAACAAATTGCAACATGGCCACATTTTATTCTCTTAAATCTGAGACTCCCGTCATGAGCCTGCATCACTGGGGATTTCAGTCTGGAGCTGGGAAGGAGCAGGGTTGTAATGTGTGAAAACACATTTCTCCAAATTGCACTCACTAAAAGTACCACTCCAGCACTGAGAGCAACCAGGAATGCATAACCATGCCCATTGGTTGTGTTTCAAAATTGGCCCTGTGAAAAACATGAAGGAAATGACATTTGCTTGGGAACTTTTTTTCCCCAGAAAGGATATTTTAAAAGAATGTTTTGTACAACTGATCCGATAAAATTTTTATTGGATCATTTTAATTTTTCTCTCCTCTCTAGCAGAGTGTGGGTTTTATTTTTCTTGTTCTCCAACACAGCCTACCACACAGCCAGCCACAGCTTACCAGTATATTTCCCCAAATACTGCATGTAATTTAGTGTACCCCGTTTGTTTCTCTCAACACCTGAGGCTGTCATTTCAAAAAGAACTTCTCATCATTTCTCTTATATAAGGTATGAAGAAGCATATGGGACCATGACACAATATCAGGTTGTTGTGGTGGATGCTAGGAGTGGAACACCCATCACAGACCCCTTCCTTTTTTTTATGGGATCTCATGGTGTATCCAGGCTGGCCTCAAAATCTAATCCCTCCTGTCTCAGCCCTAGTACTGCTGGGACTCAGGGGTGCAGCACCACATCCAGGATTGCAGGGGTGCATCACCACATCCAGGATTGCAGGGGTGCATCACCACTTCCAGGATTGCAGGGGTGCATCACCACATCTAGCTGAAACTAGACGTTTCTTGTTCTATTCAAACAACAAAGAAACCAACTTCCTTCAATAAAGACCAAGCAGAATTGATTCTAAAATTTTTCTTCACAGACATATAATGGATCTACAGGATTCCTTGCCAACCCTACATGATGCTGGTGGCCCTTTGGTCTTCCTGCTCCAATGGCAGGTTGGTAGCAGGTAGGGTTCTCAGGGCACAGGGCAGCAAGCACTGTCCACAGGCATGCTAGAGCCATTGAGTTCCTAACTCAGTGAAAATTATTCATCTGGCCTTTTCTTGAGAAGCAGAAGAAGCAGAGACAATGAGCAGGTTGCATGGGAAACAGTCCTTAGAAACAGGGTCCTGGAGCCTATGGACAAACTTTGACCTTTGATGGTTTTGCATAAGGTCAGTGTGGCCAAATCTACCTCGTTGAGGTCAGCTAAAATGAGGTAACTGCGGACACACAGGACAGAACTGCCAGTGCCTTTGTTGTTTCTGAAACCTGAACTGCTTTTAGAAATAAAGGCTGGAATGTTCCATAGGAACTCAGACATGGGACAGAGGGGCATGGCACACACTAAGTGTGGGCTATTTAAAACCAGTCCCTTGGCTCCCCTCTGTGATCCTAAATAGGTGAAATCACATTACCCGCAGCAGCCGGGAACTATTTCCATGACACTGCCCAGCATCTGTGCTTACTGTGGCTGGGTCCACCCAATGAAAACAAAGTAGAGCGCAGTCCAGGCTCTCAGTGTCCAGCTAATGTCCACCTAGTGTCAGACTGAATGAGAATGCTTGAAATTCAAGGACTGATCTATTGGACTATCCCAGGAAGAGGCAGGTGCCTTACCCCCCCGCCCCCCGAAAAGGCATTTTAAGCAAGTCATTTATTTACATGACCAATAATCAGCATAAGCAGAATTGATCACAAAGACACAGACATTGTCTTATTCTGTATTAAAAAAAAAAAAACTGTCTTAAAATCCTTTTCTTTGACATGTTAACACTTCCTTTAATCAAACAGATAACCCCTTGGGAATTCTTCACTTAATTGGCAATCCCTGGCAAAGGAGTTAGCCAGGGAAAGGACATTAACGGACCTTGTTATATAATGTCAAAACACCCGACCAAGTTTATAAATGTAATGAAACAGTTGAACCAGTTTGGGGATTTCCTGTAGACCACACAATATATTAAGTAACTTTCATCATCTTATCTGGATGTAAAAATTTAAAGCTGTAGCACTTACAAAACATGTGGGACTTTTCCATATCTAATAAGTCACATCCTGAGCTTGATTTAAAGCTGCATGAGGTGGTTCACACCTTTGATCCCAGCAGTGGGGAGGTGAGGGAAGGAAGACCAGAAGCTGAAGGCCAGCCAGACTATACGGTAAGGTCAAAGTCAGCATGAATTATGTGAGACCCTTCCTTTTAAAAAAAGTTTTATGCACTTGAATTTCTATATGATTACGGCACTTCAAAATATGTCGTATAACTTCCATTTTGTAGCTGAGGAAGCTGAGGGGAGGGGACATTCAGTCTGCCCAAGACTACGGGACAAAGTTCCAATGAGTAGTGGGGCAAGATTAGTGTCGTGAGATTTGAACACAGGATTCTCCAGTTTCAAATTCCCACTGTTTGCTTGTGTATGAATAACCTCATGAAATGGCTAAGCAAGGAAACAAATATAAATCTAGAAAGCAAATAAATTAAAAGCTTGGATCTTAATTACATAGTTAAGATACCTCAGATTCAGTATATTGACAGCAGACTGTGTCTGCTTTGGAAGTATCTATCTGCCAACCCAAGATTGAGTCTGCAGCATTGAAGAACCCTTGACCCCATGTGTTACCCCATTAAGAACTAGACTCCAACTGTCAAACATTACACATCAGAACAAATTACACATATTTCATTACGCCTGTGAAGAGATCTGATTTCCTAGCCCAATGCTATTTTTGAATATTTTCAGGCATGGGCTGAATATGTGGTTCCCTTGTGGCCAACTCAAAACACAGAGCATGGAGTATTTGCTGTATTAATATCATCTTTCCCTCACTGTGAGGGGACTAGTTATAAATTAGATGAGATTAGAAAGCAGTCTCTGGAGAATTGGTATTTTAAGGAATTACCTAGAAAGAACCAAGGGTTTTTTTTTTTTTTTTTTCTCCTTCTTTCTCCCCACATGGTAAATCATACAGAGGAGCAGCCTGCCCCAGATCCCTGAGAAACAACATCTTGAGCGCATATGTTATGCTGGGCTCTGCATTGACAAATCCAAGAACTCCAGTGCAAAATAACCGAAGTTCCCAAGGTAAAAATGAAAGTAAGATCATCAAAATTGCTATTCTTGTTGCAACATCCCAACAACTTCATAAACAGCTATTAAAGTAGACAGCATTACAGGTTATCGAATTTAGCCATGTAAGAATCAACCTGCATTGCGAGTGTGAAGTTACAAACCATCCCATCTACCTCCCACTTTACTGATACCCTCACCCTTTTCAGAAACATCATCACATTCAACAGAAATAATATTAAGCTTATTTTATGAGAAGGCTTATCCAAATATATGCCATATTAAAAATAGTCATGATATAAATATTTCTCACAAGAGCTGCAGCGATGGTGTGAATAAAAAACTCCCTTCTGAGATTTCAGTAAAACCAGATCTCACAAAGGATCTGAAAGAAAACAAAACACACACACAAAAACAGACACACACACAAAGAGACACACACAGAGAACAGACCTTATGTTAATCCGATTTACCATAACAGTTGCTATTTCCACACTATTTTATAAAGTAATATTCTGTTCCTTCCCAGATGAAGCAAGAGAGAGAGGAGCTGCTCTAGGTACCTCAGAATAATGTCCAGGGTGGGGGCTAGCTAAGCATGGTCAGGAGCAGCTTATTGAAATCACAAATTTTAAATACAGCAAAATATTAGTGCTGTCAAATGGCCAAGCATGCAAGAGGAATCCCTCTCTCTCTCTCTCTCTCCCTCGCTCACTCCATGCCCCTCTCAGAATACATACAAACCCCCAAACCCACCAGCTGGAATTTTTTAAATTGTAAATTAGATATTAAAATGCTTACGGGCCTTACAGTGAGATAACGTCAGGAGGAACGGTGCGTGGAATGGATCTTGCATTCTCACAGAGAGCGTTATCTTTGGTACAAGTACACACGGCAGGGCATTTTGGCTTCGCTGGTTTCTTCCCCTCAGTCAGCAAAACCACAGAAAAGAGGCATAGGAAATAGGCAATTCTTTTCAGGGGGATGCAGGCATTTCCCATCCTTCTGCTTCTTTCTGATTCCATGCAGTCGAGAAAATATCCCCACACATGAACAGGGCTTCTGGAATTCAGCTGCTGATTATCTTGCTCTAGGAACAGGTCACATAGGAGTCCACCCTTCTCTGCCTCTGTATCTGCCTTTTCAAAACAGGGACCTCCAGCTGATTCGTGAGCTGTTCCTCGCTCAGGCAGTGCACTGCTCGGGGGAAGAGACCTGTGAGGTGCTGTGAGATGGGAGCCAGCCAACTGCTGGAGGAAGAGAGCCGACTCGCATCACAGAAAACAGTGAGCACAGAGCAGTCTTCGAAGGCAAGTGAAGTGATGTAACAGAAAATAAACAGCTTTCTGCGTTCACCGGGA